AGCGCTGGAAAGCTGATCTGATATTTACATGGGTCCTACTTCTTGCCTTAAGCCTTCTTTTGTTCCGCAGATGTTTTTCTCTTTTGTTTTTTATCCGCCATCTCTATCTTTCTGTCGATCGGCTCGGCTAATGTCCGTCCTGTGCACTGAGCGCTCTCTCCTCCACATCATGAGTAGACACGCCCCTTACTGCTGATTGGCTACAAGTTTGTTTTGGTACTCTGCATGAAGGATACTATCATATATTTCAGAGATATAAAAAAAATCATCTCAGGCAAGTGTATTTTTCCTTACCTCTCAGGCAGAGTCAGGTAGGCGGTATATTCTTGTTCTCTCTCAACAATGCTCTAACATCACACGCAGACGGCAACGCAATCAGGTGAACAGTTAATGGTTAATTCAGTGACTTTATGAGAAGACAGAGTCCTGCGGGTACATGCAGGTGAATCACTAATATTTGATGTAATGGGTGGAATAATATTTATGTGTAGAGTGTGGTGCGGGTGTGGGTCGAACAGTGACAAGCACGGGCAGGTTGCGAGTCCAATAACCAAGACTATTTCGACTCGGCCCAGTACACGCTGAGCAATGTAGCCAATCGCGCTGCTACTGATTGACAGCTGTAGTGATTATAATCGATTATATTCGATTATATAGCACTCCCTCTTTGCTGGCTTTCTGTATTTAATCTATTCACAATTTGAATAACATTTTAATAAATGAGTTGTGTCTACCACATGTAGGAGATTTAATGCAGGTGCGGTTCGGGTCCCAGTTCTTATGTCAAATGGGTCAGGTATGGGATTAAATTAGTGTTGCTGTCAGATAATGTGTCGGGTGTTCTGTTAATCAATGCGATTGTGGGAAGATAATTTCACCAGCCAGGACAGGTGAATGAAAATGTCTCTCTGTGATGTTACCACGAGGCATCGCTTACTTACAGATCTCAGGCTTCTGGAGGGGATGTAGATTCGTAAGAGTGAGGAGGAAGTAGGAGGGTGCTGAGCCTGTGGCTGTTCTGTACGCAAACATCAATGTCTTGAACTTGATGCAAGCCGCAACAGGTAGCCAGTGCAGCGAGATAAAGAGAGGAGTGAAGTGGGCCCTCTTGGGCTCATTGAAGACCAGTCGTGCCTCTGCATTCTGAATCATTCGTCGAGGTTTGATTGGGCATGATGGAAGTTCAGCCAGAAGAGCATTGCAATAGTCCAGCCTAGAATTGACAAGGGCCTGGGCAAGAAGTTGTTCAGCATGCTCTGTTTGGAAGGGCCTGATCCTCCTGATGTTGTGCAATGCAAACCTGCATGATCGAGCTGTCTCTACAATATGGTCCTTGAAGGTCAGCTGGTCACCAAAGAATCATTTTTGATGAACCTAGCAGGATGATGAAATCATGCTGTAGAGTCGGAGTGGCAGGGAAAACGAGAAGCTCAGTCTTTGCCAGGTTGAGCTGCAGGTGTTCCTTCATCTATGCCAAGATGTTTTCCAGGCAGCCTGAGAGCCGTGCAGCTACTATTGGATTGTCTGGTTGAAATGAATGATAGAGCTGTGTGTCATCAGCATAGCAATGGTAGGAGAAAAAATGTGCTTGTATAATGGGTCCCAGTGATGTAGTGTATATGGTGAAGAGGAGGGGTCCAAGAACTGATCCCCGAGGAAACCCTGTGGCCAGTT